TCCCGAAGACCAGGTAGACCGGAGTGCAAGGGCAGGAAGGCCTCTGCGGCTTGGGCTCATTCCCTGGCCCGAGCCCCGGAGCCACAAAACAGCGTTATTTATTAAACCCAGTGACTAAAACACACACTCTGTTGCAAGAGGGAGTAGCTACACTTCAGGGTTTTTTTCCCCTTAAGAGCCAACGTGACTCATCTCTGCAGTGTAAGTGTCAGCCTTTGCTCAGAGTTGTGCGCAAAGACAGTGCCTAAGCAAGGACCAAGGAACAACCCCAAATTCATTCCGCACTCAGAGCCCAAGAAAGGGCCAGTATCAGCCTGAGGTTTGTTTTCTGATTTTTGTGCCTTGACCAACTGTACACAACTAACAAAAAGGGGAGGTTTCCAAGAAGGAAGCTACGGCGGTCCTACCTTTTGCTTCCTTTCCTCCCCCAAAAGGACTAAACTCTCATAAAGGTGTTGTCCACATTGTAGCTGTGGAATGGTCAGAACGGACCATTACTGTCTTGTTCTGTGACTGGCATCACCTAGACCTGTCCCTACCAAATTGTGGGTGGACGTCTTACAGACAAGCATGAAGGCTTGATTTGAAAAACTGCCATATAGCGGATAATTAACCTTTTTTAAAGTGTTATTGCTGTAACAGTACCTTAAGCAACCCATGAAGATGATGATAAATAATAAAGCATATTGAATACTCTGAAATTAAGATAATCCCCCCCTTGTTTACAGTACAAAAATTTTATTTTTTTGTTAGGATAATTTAAAGTTTAAAACTGAAGTAGACATATTCATTTTACAAACAAGATATTCTTCCATAAGGAGGACCATTAAAAACAGTAAACAAACAAACAAAAAAAGCTATCTTTACAAAAGCTCTGTGCATAGCAACTTCGTACCGTATATAACTGACAAAGCAAAAAAAAACCAAACCAAAACAAAAAAACGACCAGCCAACCCCAAACCATCCCCAAAAACTATACAGTAGGGAGAAATGAGGTCTTAATTTACAGAAGGGAAGAAAAAAAAAAAAAGGTCTTTAAAAACCATGCATATTGGACGTGTGCAAAGAAATAGGGAGAGTAAGATGCTATACCAAGATAAATAATGAAATAAAATGTACTCTTTCAAAGTTATGATAAAATTTTTAGTTACCTATCGCAACACTTTCATCTTAAGCAACCCATGAAGATGATGATAAATAATAAAGCATATTGAATACTCTGAAATTAAGATAATCCCCCCCTTGTTTACAGTACAAAAATTTTATTTTTTTGTTAGGATAATTTAAAGTTTAAAACTGAAGTAGACATATTCATTTTACAAACAAGATATTCTTCCATAAGGAGGACCATTAAAAACAGTAAACAAACAAACAAAAAAAGCTATCTTTACAAAAGCTCTGTGCATAGCAACTTCGTACCGTATATAACTGACAAAGCAAAAAAAACCAAACCAAAACAAAAAAACGACCAGCCAACCCCAAACCATCCCCAAAAACTATACAGTAGGGAGAAATGAGGTCTTAATTTACAGAAGGGAAGAAAAAAAAAAAAAGGTCTTTAAAAACCATGCATATTGGACGTGTGCAAAGAAATAGGGAGAGTAAGATGCTATACCAAGATAAATAATGAAATAAAATGTACTCTTTCAAAGTTATGATAAAATTTGTAGTTACCTATCGCAACACTTTCATCTTTCTAGTAGCAAAAAAAGGAAAGCTGTTAGGGAATATTAAACAGCGATAACTAAAAGAGGACAGATTTGCTTATTACATTGAAAAAAAAATCCTTACACAAATTTTTTACATGATTTTTTCCTTTTTTTTTGTTGGGTGCTTTGCCACCGCCAAAGTCCCTCTTTCATGTTCAAGGATTGCGGATTGTATTTATTTACACACTTTTTTCCTTTGTAAAGCTACAAGTTCTACGCTCATCTTGAGTATGATGATGTCCATGCACGAGCAAAATCCACATTTTTCCAAGTCATTTTTCCATGTTTACCTCAACCTAAGCAGCTCCATTTGTTTCTCTTCCTACAAGTACCTGACATAGCTTTCTAGGGAGGTTTTCTTTTTCATTTGGACTCATGGCTCTCCCACTTGAGCAACTGGACAGAGCTAATAAAAATAACTGAAGGGTGAATGGAATGTCAAGCATTTCAGAACCTTTTCTTTTTTTAGCCAGTCATTTTTTTCCCCTGAATCTTCTTGAGATGTCAGTGATCTTTTTTATGTGCCTGTGCTGACTAAGCAATAATAATAAAAAAGAGTGGACCATTAACAGAATAGCTTTTCCCAGGAAATGTCTCTGGGTTTTGGGGTTTTTTTTTTGTTTTTTGGTGTTTTTTTTTTTTTTTAAATTGGAAACCTTTCTGACTGAGATTTTGTAATGAAAAATCTGATTTGGTTAAAAAAAAAGTGAGAGGAATTAGGGTAGCAAGCTGCTGCTTTTCAGCATGTGGTCCAGAAATTCCTATCATCTGGGAATATTTGCTGGGCATAGAATTTTGAGTCTAAGCAGAGATGATAAAATTTAAAAAGTAGGCTGTACAGGAAAGGGGCGGGAGGTGAAATCCACCATCTTTATGCTTTGGAGCTGTTTGGGGTTGTTTTTTTTTTTTTTAGTAGTTCAAAAAAGGGGGCAGGGAAGATCAGAAATGAGTCTGGTTCATCAAGATTATTTTGTTTGAACTCTAGTACTCAATGTAGTATTCACTGAAATTCATGGAAGTTCTAATGCCAACTCTAATAATCCGCAATCTCTTTTTTTTTTTCTGTATGCATACAGAATTCCAAACATGAATTTGGACCTCCCATTCTTACCCTCGCGGGGATATCGGTACCTATGAAAGTCTGAAATACTTTGTTGTTTTTTTGTTTTGGTTTTATTCCAAATAACAATGATCAGTTTAGCCAGTGCACCCTGTTGTGTTAGCAAAGGTGTCCATACACAGTTACAGCTCCAGACTGCTTGACACCTGTGATTCCTTCCTATTTCAGAGATCACCTGGCTCCGAGGATGGGTGCCTTGTTGACCTCCAGTGATCGCCACTTCCTCGATGGCATGAAGGGCACGTAAAGAATCTGCAGCGTCAACAAACTTGCAACGATCGTTAATGGTGAGTTATTTTATTTCATCTTTTCTGGAATGTAGACACTTTCAGTAGCCTGACTGTAAGACTCTGACTAACTATATTCATGCTTCTTAAAAACACACTATTCCCACCAAATCTCTCTTTAACGTTGCTTCTAATTGCCGTTTTTGCTGAAACGATAAATTCGGCCTTGAGTTTTAGAGGCCAGTAAACCCCCTCCAGCTTTTAAAAAAAGGAATTCAATAGCATTGAAAAGGCACCAAGCAAAGCCCCTACCAAAAGTCTCTGGGATTGACAGGAGTAGCCTGGCTTCATTGTCTTTCCAGTCCCCTGGCTTCTCCGCTGTGCTGTGTTCTGGTTAAGAAACGCATCCTGTAAAGCTTCATGTACACCAAATACATTCCTCTCGTAGGCTGAGCCGCATACTACACTTCACAGAGGACCCCCCTCACGCAGGGGAAGGGGCAGTCGGCTCTCCTGCACTGGGCTGTTGGAGGCAACGATTTGACACCGTTGCAAAATGCAGTCCTATGCCAAAGGCCTGTCCGTGGGCGAGGGTCTATCGCGTCATATACCACACATCGCCAAGCCTCAGTCACTAATCACTGCTGCTGGATTTGAACCAGGGAGCTAGCTGGAGGCTTTCTAGCTTATTACTAACCCAAATTAGCTCTGCAATAGCTCCAAATGAGCTCCAGAGTACCTCAGCATTGCAAGTTGTCGCTTTCACCCCTCCCGAGTCCAGTACTGAATTGAACATCTTCTACCATATATAAGGATCACCAAGAACACTATTTTACTCACCCATCGATTCTGGGCAAACAGACAAGTACAGTTTCAGGGGCCATATATTAAGGGTTTATTTATTAACATAAATATGTTATCATAGGAACAACTATTCACGCGGCTATGAACCGTGTGTATTTTAGTGGGATGTAAGTAGTGTAGCTGATTTATTTTTTTTCTTAAAAAAAGGCTTTCCAACAATCAAATTCTTTTGAATGGTCTCTGGTTTAGTCAGATAACTAGTGATTTTTTTATCATCAGACTTGTGCTCACCTTCCAGTTTCAGGAGAGGAGGTGTGAAGGAGAACTAAACTTATTTTATGCTAAAAATGCAGGAAAATTCAAAGCAATTGCTTACTTCTATGAACTTCAATATATAAATGGAAAATACTTACCATTTTTAATGACTCAGGATAAAAGTGCATAAATTAGTCAAATACATATTTACCCTTTATAAATGCACCCTTCATGTGAAGTATAACTGAACTTAAGGTGTTCTAACTACATGGAAAAACACTATGTTAGAGAACCCTTTCCCTCCTAATTCATACATTGAATCTAGAAAATAAACTCAGTACCTCATGAAAAACCTGGTTCGTTCAAATCCCTAAGTGCCACTCATTCGCCAGTAGGGTCTTTGATGCTTCCCAGTTCGTCTTAGTACCTGAATAGTTTAATTGAAACCAAAAATGGCAGGGGGAAAGATGAGGGGGATGCAAATTCATACATGAATCAGTGACCTGAATACCACAATGTATGTAAAAGTTTCTGATGGTTTTGTTAACCAGAAAGAATCCTATACATCCTTGCACATGAATTCAGTAAGAGGGAAAAAGTGAGGAGCAATTGCAGCAGTAATAATATATCTTAAACTTATCACTACATTTTTGCATCATTTTTCTTCATTGTACAACTGGAAGAAAAAAAATCCAAAAAAAGGGTTTAAGTTCTACCTCTACATACAATAAGTTACAAGTTTATTATTTAAATAATTGTAAAACATCTTACATTTTTTTAAAGAGGTTAAACTATAAGCAAATACACACATACACCAACGTTCCATCATTCATGTCAGTTTGTCCTAGAAATTCTTTCATGCTGGTACCCTGTTTTGTTGATTTTTTTTTCTGCATAAACTAAATTGATATCTGATAGAAAATAGAAACTTCAACTTTTTTCCCCTACAAAGTAAAACAAATTGTATCCAAAATATCAAGCTTGAATCATTTTGCCAATTTCTTTCTCCTTTTAATATTTTACAAATCTTAGGAAGGTTTCATGTCTTTCAAGAAAGACTTTGTGTTTCTGATTCCGTTCTGCCAACTGTTGTTCGTGCTGGCTCCTGGCTGATTCTTCATTCACAATGTTTTAGGAGTTGACGTGGTTGTGTCAGAAATATGAAACAGGTAAAAGATGCAGACTTCTATCTTGTCCAATCCATAAAAAAATGTTCCTTTTTTTTTTCTTGGGCCTGACTTCCCCCCAAAAAAGAGCTTGTAGTGCTATTTTTTTTCTTTTTAGTGGTCCATCACAATAAGTAGTTTTGTGCTGTAAAAGAAAAATGAAAAAAAAGAGGAAAAAAGGGAAGAGGGAGAGGAGCAAAGCTGCCTCTGCCTTACATCGGGGGAACGACAAGACCAGTCATGGCTGAAAAAGAAAATTGACAAAGATGAAATTCTGACAAATTTTTATGGAACAAAATATATTTGAGCCCTTCACCCTTCTGTGTGCAGTCACATGTTGCAGCAATGGACTTACTTATCTGCAGGTTAAAGTAGACCTTCAGTTCCTGCCAAGGATTTTAGGTTTTAGCAAGAACTAACATGGCGAGACCGACAATGACAATATACAATGGACAATCTGCTATTTCACAAAAAATTCACCAAAAGCCATCTCCTGAAAGATGGCCTTGGAGACGGATGTTGCTCAGAACTGTCCCCAAAAATTCAGGCTTTTAATGCTTTCTCAAGTTGAACGCTCAAAGTCATTCTTGCAAACCAGAATCGAGCAGGGTCCTCCCTTTCCCACTTGGCCTGCTCATGCACTTGCAGAAAGGGTGATGTTGTGGGTGAGGAACGCTGTGAAAGCAAGCGGGATTCACCCGTGCACTGCTTATGGGACCTAGCCGTAGAATTACAAGTCCCAATTCACTGGACAATGACCAGAGCTAGAGTTTGCTAATTTAGTTTCCATGGAAATAATGGACCAGCCTCTTTTTCACTTGGTTTACCCCATATGGCTGAATTCCTGTAGTCTTACCTGGCATGGTCCCAGAACATTGGGCTTATGTAAATTATTTATTAGTCGCTCTCACTGCCTTTAATTGCAGCTATATTCTTCATAACTGACAACAGCAACATCTGAAGCTGCCTGGAACTGATGCTGTTCCCGAAGGTTTTGAAGGGTAAGTTAAGTTTATGTGTATTTATGTAACAAATGAGCGAGTCATATTTTCAACGGGGCCTCAGTGCAGTGCAAGTTCCTAATCCTGCAAAGAGTTATGTTCACTGAAATTTGTGGGATTATTCATGTGTTTACAGCCCTGTCCTCCGAGAAGGAATTTCACCCTTGTGTTCATAGTGTTTAAAACAATGCTTAGGGCAAGATCCTCAGCTAACATCACTCTTTTATTGGTGCTGTGTTGATTTTAAACAACTGTGGATTATGGCCTATGATTTAATACAATAGGAAAAATAAATATTTTCATGTTTTGGCTAGAAGTCCCTGCCAATTTTGGCAGATAGCTGAAAGAGAAAGTGAAACCCAGCAATCTTGAGTCAAATACCTACTCTTTTTCATTGCTTAAGAATTTGCTATTATTTTTCAAAGGGGCAATTTACATAACCTTAAATAAAGTAGGTAATGTGTATGCCTGTTTTTGGCGGGGGGGGGGGGCCCATTGGAAG